CAGGGGCGAGCTTATCTCATCGCGGGCATCTCTAAGTGCGCACATATGGATGCAGTGGAGTCGCAAGCACAAGATGCAGATACCACTCGTGGTGCCAAGATGCAGATGCAGATTGCCAACCGACAACTGACAACCAAACAACCCGACGATGACAACGTTTGGAGCGATTTTCGAGTACAACTGCATCAATATTTAAGGAGTGAGAAAAATCAGGAAAGAAAAGGGTTACAGTTGAAAATAAATAAGATCAGAACATAAGTTCTAAATAGTCTGAGACATTCCAACTATCTAACATAATCCATCTGAAAGGAGACCATTATTTTTAGAGATCTTAGAACCTCAAGATATCTGTGGTTCGGGGATTATGAAATCCAGAGATTTTTTTAACTGTGCATTAGTCCCTTTTTTTCAGGGTCCATTGGGGGTGATTCTTGTTATTGTTATTCCGGTTGCTCTCACTGTTTCCAGGAAAGACGCCTCGGGCCCCGGTTGCCGGTTACTTGAACAATATTTTCATATTTATTCTGGCCCTCGGACCCAGACCCGGTAGTCTGGCTTGACATTGGTAGCCGCAGCCATACATACTGCCAGTGAGATCCCTTCAAAAGCGAAACTAATTTGCGGCTTTGTTGCCCTGCGAGTCATCTGCAATTTCCTCTGCCGAGGGGAGTTCTTGTTATTCTGCCACGCCCACTTGCAAAGGGGCCTAATAAGTCCGAGAGGCGTAGATGGGTGTGGGGGACCCTTCGGGGTCGCCAGCTCCATCTCCATCTCCAGCTCCTCTCTCTCTGCCAGATTTGGGCAACCAAACATTTTGTTTGGCTTCAGCAGCTTAATTAAATTCTTTTCACTTGTTCTCCGCTCTGATTGAGGGAATTCAATTGGGTCTGCGTAGAAACAAATTAGTTTTGTTGGAAAAAGTTTATCAATTAAGTGGCTGGGGGATCCCCGTCTATGCGCCTTGCATTTGATTGGGTTCTCGCTTTGATGATACTCTCGCGTCTCAAAATTGAATTTCTGACTAGCGAATAGATACTGCAAAGATAGCTAGTATCTGTTAAATACATTGTATAAATGTAGAAAGGTTTTCTTTGTCTTTATCCTTAAAGATGACCGAATCTGGCATCAGCAGACCTTTCTGCTGGGCTGCCCTTCTACTGGGCCAGGTCCATTGTCAGTTTGGAGGCCTTTGTTGAAGGAAAATTAAAAATGATCTTCATCGGCTCCAAGACTGCAGCATTTATTGCTATTGTGGGGCTCTGCGGGTCCTGCGGTCTCCCCGCCTGGATCATAACTCACAGCCCCGTCGGAGGATATATCTCCTCCGCCCCCCTGACCTGCACCAGCTACCATGTATGGAGTATCCTGCCCCAGGCGGGGCAATAATTTAAGCTCACTCTATTATTTATTTGAGCATATGTCAATGGAACTTATTTATTTATTCACGCCAGCAACAATAAACCGAAAAGTATGGAGATGCAAAAATGGGAATAAAATCGCACTGCCGCCTGTTAATGAGCCGTGGGGGCGAAGGGAGCGGGTTGAAGGGCCGAGTGTTGGCGATGGCAACGCGTTGCTGACGTTAATTGACCGCAACATTTTTTTTTTTTTCGCTGCTGCAGTGTGCAGTAAATTTTAATGAAATTGCTGCCATTGCCAACGCCCCGCCCCTATATACGATAAAAGGGGGCGTGGCGGCCAATTGCCCCTCCCGCCCAACTGCCTACCGATGACATGGCTGTCAGCGACACTTCGTGCCGCTTGTTGCATGCTTGCTGCATAAAACTGAAATTAAACGTACAAAAAATTAAAATCTATAAGAGCAGGCCAAGGGGCGGGCGAAAAAAAAGGCAAACAGAAACTGTTGCGAAATACAAAAAATTATATACGACTGGGGCTTAATGCACGGTTCACTGGCCAGCGGATAAATGTTCTCGGCTCAGCCTGTTTCGGCTGCCATTTTTGATGTTGCTGCATTTATAAATTAATTAAAAATAAATTACTTTATGTTGCATGTCCAATTTCATTAAACTTGCCACTGTCATGCCAGCAAAGCAGCAGTGGCAAGTGGCAGTAACAACAAATAATTATGCATACACAGTCGGACAAGAAAATGGGCTAAAAAGTGTCGAGCTTCTGAGTGGAATTGATTTCCCAATTTGAATAAAGAAGCTGGAGTGCAACACAATTTGTTGCCTCAGTAACGGAATCATATCTATCTTTCCTGGGCAACAGGTGTCTCCCCCATAGATAATCCCCTCCACCGCCCAGCTACCATCTATCAGCCACTGTATGCACAATGCACCTCATATTTGCCCGAACAAACATACACAGATTCCGCCGAGTTAATGTCGCATTAAGACGCCAATCCCTGACCCGGCTGGCAAATAAATCCTCCGGCAGTAGCCGGAATGTACACGATACAGTGGGGTTTGAGGGGAGGAGCCATCCTCCAGTGGAGATAAAGATGCTGCTGCGATGGTGCAGATAAATTTTCATGTTGTCACACCTTGCAACTCGCATGCCACATAAATATATTTCCACCTCGAGCCGCCGAAAGGTGACACTGCCTGCATTTTTGTGCATCTTTTTTCGGCAGAGTCGGATAAAATAAGATATCAGAAGGCAGCCCAACTCGATTTCGCATTCAGAGGTACCACCCCTGCTATCCCCCTCGTCCCTTCGCACCTTCCTGTCGATTGAAATCGAAATATTTTCAGGGGGGAAAGGACGTGTGGAAGGGGCAGGGATCCTTCTCGGAACTCGCCGCATTTAATTTATTGTGAATATTTGATGTTCGATTTCTTGCACCTCGTCCTCCTGTCGACCTGGCTCTGAAACTATATTTTTGGCAGAGATTGCGATTTCGAATTTTTAAAGGGCAAGGGCACTGGATACTGACCAAATATTTTCTTATCAACAGAAAGCTGGAACTGACTTGGTTTGGTCAAAATATTGGGGCTTATTGTTGATGCATTGAGCAACAGATGAGATACAAGATACAAAACAAGAAAGCGAAAGCTGAACTCAAACATATCTCAAAAATTAATACGTTTCCCTTTTGATTTTTTACTTTCCATCATATACAAAAACACAAAAAGACTGCGCCAGTTTTTGAATAAATAGGAGTTTAATATGCAAATCTTTAAAGATATTCTACTCAAGGATCTGAAAATTATTGGCAGATATATAGCCATGGCTGTGTGCTCCATGGATTTCAAAGGGGATCGCCCAGAAAATTTGACAAAAAATCTCAAAAATATCAAAAATAATTTGTTTCCAGATTTTGATGCAGATGGATGCAGAATCGATCCACAAATCGTTTAAGGTATTCCGCTCAACGATCTGATAATTATTGGCAGAGATATGGGAATCTGTGTGGGCCATTTTTTGCTCCCCATGGATTTCTCGAGATTTTGAAGGGGGACATCCAGAAATTTTGACAAAAAATCTCAAAAATAATTTGTTTCCCGATTTTGATGCAGATGGATGCAGAATCGATCCACAAATCGTTTAAGGTATTCCGCTCAAGGATCCGGGGGCCATCCAGAAATTTCGACAAAAAATCTCAAAAATAAGTTGTTTCCAGATTTTGATGCAGATGGATGCAGAATCGATCCACAAATCGTTTAAGGTATTCCACTCAAGGATCCGATAACTATTAGCAGAGAAATGGCTATCTGTGTGGGCCATATTGAGCTCCCCATGGATTTCTCGAGATTATGTAGGGGGACATCCAGAAATTTTGACAACAAATCTCAAAAATAATTTGTTTCCCGATTTTGATGCAGATGGATGCAGAATCGATCCACAAATCGTTTAAGGTATTCCGCTCAACGATCTGATAATTATTGGCAGAGATATGGCTATCTGTGTGGGCCATATTGAGCTCCCCATGGATTTCTCGATATTTTGAAGGGGGCCATCCAGAAATTTCGACAAAAAATCTCAAAAATAATTTGTTTCCAGATTTTGATGCAGATGGATGCAGAATCGATCCACAAATCGTTTAAGGTATTCCACTCAAGGTTCTGATAACTACTGGGAGAGATATGGGTATCATGGATTTCCACATGGATTTCTCGAGACTATGTAGGGGGACATCCAGAAATTTTGACAAAAAATCTCAAAAATAATATTTTTTCAGATTTTGATGCAGATGGATGCAGAATCGATCAAGGATTTGGTAATTACGGGCAGAGATATGGCAGTAATAGGAAGATAAATAGTAGTTTTTGCCTCCAAATATGGTGGGTTTAAGAAAAAAACACCATTGTCTTAGGTGCAAGGTATGTGTGTAACTCTAAGTGCATTAATGAATATGAAATAAAGAAATTTCCTTTGCAATTTATCTTGCCTTAATGGCTGCAAATCGTATCCCTTCAAGCTCCAGTTGAACCGCCGCCAGAACGATTAACAAGAAGCCCAATCTACGTAGAAATCAATTAGCAACTGTCGGACTTGCTGGCCAGAAAAGTGAAAATCCAGACCGGACAGCATAATGCCACCCAGGAGCTGTCAATGGAGGGAGACCACACAAGTGGGTCGCAGACGGAGGAACAGAGAAAATGAAGCCTGGTCACGCACAGAGAGTTGTGGAAAGCGGGCTGGCGGAGATAGAGCTCGATTCCAATGCCCGGCTCGAATATGAAATTATTCAAATGCAGCCACAACATATAAATTCAAGTTAATCCGCACAGCTGGATGTCTGTCCCCCGGAGGCGATTGCCAGCGGATCTGCGAGTGGTGGGGATCACGTATAAAAATATATAGAATGGCTCTATATAAGGACTCTTTATTTGCCTGCTTGTTGATGGGCGCCAGCTTTTAATCATTATTAATTATCCAGGCCAGCTTTGAGTATAAATCACGCGTGCTTATGCTGCGTTTTTTCTGCTTCGTAGGAGGAGCAGCTAATCTATTTCTGGCCAACTTGCGAATCGCAGAAAAAAGCGGCCAATTAAAGGGAGAGCAGTCCCAGAAACGGTCATTTATTTATTTTCAGCGTTTAAGCCATGCTTTCTGGCGATCTACCAGATACACTCTGTATTTCGGCATCAGCCTGGGACTCCGTTTCCGGAGGTATCTCCGGGGGTGTCCCCTCTTCTACTTCATTAGGCTCCTCCTTGTAGATGAAGCACATTTCCACGTAATCGTTGGGCCCAACCTGCAAGGACTCCCGCACCAGTTGCTCGGCCTCTGCCAGATTCATTGGATCCTTTCGGTATACATCTAGGCAAAACAGAACTTCCTCGGCCTTCGTTCCGCCCTTGGCTGCTTGCTGGACGATGCTTGCCTTTCCCTTTGGCTGGAGTTCGTACATATGAAGGCCGTTACGATCTTCGCCAGCCACGAGGATATCCACAGTCGCAGCCTGCTCGTACTTGCGGCACAGCATGTCCTTCACCTGGGCCACGGTAAGCTTCTGGTGTCTGTCATTGGTTTGGTAGTCCACTTGGGTTCCCACGTCCTGGATGATGTCGCGATCGGCACGCGGAGCACAGCAACTGATGTGAGAAAAAAAGTATCAGAATCTGGATTAATGGCCTTACTATATAACCTTACTATACGCGCTCGTCCAGGTGGCAAAGTAGGTTGTCCCTTGAATTGGTGGCCAGTAGAATTCCTTCGTCACATAGCACGCCCACCATGGTGCCGTCCTCTCGAGAACTGTGGACATTAATATTCAAAATTCGTTCAAAATATAAGATAGCATAATCACTTACTCTGCGCTGGCCATTATGAGGTTGGACGATCCCAAGGGCGTTCGAGTTGAAAAGTTTAGGTAAATGAGCTGTGAAGAATATACAAAAATCTTAAGAGTCGGGTGTGTAAACGATACCCCTGAAAACCAAACAGAAACTCGACCAAGTCGAAGCTAGCCAAACAAACCCTACTCAAGCCAAGATTATGGCGAAAAAGTGTCAACGCCTGGGGAGCCAAAAACACAATATCTTGTCCCTATAGTGGCCCAGAAGTGAATCCATTGTGTTATCGAAAGCGATATGTTCGTAGGCCGAGGCAATCTGCTAATCTTCGATATCTCAAACAGGTTGGTAGCCACCTCTTTAATGTAATCATCTTCGGGCCATAAATGTGCAACCTGTGCTTCTGTGGCCACTGCACCTGCTGCTCTAGGGTCTGGGCCCTATAAATAGAACCAACTAGTTGTGGCCAGGACCAATGGCTAAGACCAGAAGGCCTCGTAGACGGTTTAATGGGCATCATCAATTTAAAGCGACACTGTCCGCGCAATGTTGTAATCGATGTGTTAATTAACTTTGCCAGATGGAGGGATTAACAAACCTCGGAAATAACTCTGCAGGAGATTCCTGATCTGACAAGAGTTTAATTAGAATTGCAATAAAAAGCCCACTTGAATGACTTTGCGATTGAGTGTTGGGCAAACGTCAGTTTTCCAACACAACAGAGAAAGCTGCTCCTTCCGATTTCTTTGGCTTGACAAAATAATAATCGCGTGCGTGTCCCTCCAACTGCCTTATTATTATTATCATTATTGGTACTCGTCTGCATGTCGGGAATTTAATTTTTTCTGGCATTTACAAAACACTTCAACCCGTTTTGACAAGAGCCGGCGATGACAGCAATTACCATACGATTTGCATGACGTTTATGTTTATTTTCGCATTGTACTCGCCTCCTCCTCGGCAGTCATGAATGCCTTTTAGCCTCTCCAGGCTTTGTGTTCTTTATGGCCTAAAAGAGATGAAATGGTTGGTAAAAAAACTCAGCCAGTCTGGGCCGAGTGCTCAGGTTGATTCCGATTTTGACAGCTGCCTGACTCACTCAGTTGGTCGCAATTTCGTTGGATTCGCATTTCATTAGCTTGTTATGGACCACCTACGGCCGCCGCTGACAGAACTGGTGGTTCTCCCCTTCCCCGGTTCCGCCTTTGGCCAGTTGGCCAAATGGCAGAGACCCACAGCGAAGCAATTAAGCCGACTGGCATCGAAAACAATCCCAACCAATGGGGCAATTTAAGGTATTTACAAAAGCGTAAAAAGGTAAAGAAAACAAGTCGGGCTCCTCCCAATCAAAACAAGACGAGCACCACTCGAGAGGCAGACCCTCTCTGAAATGTCAATCGTTCGGCTAAAAGTTAAGGCCATCTGTAAAAAGGGCCTAAAGAAAATACAAATAAATTTGCAAGCCTTTCAAGGGCAACACATCAATAAAAAGTAACTGAACGAAGTTTAAAGACACAGGAATGATATAAAGCGGTTTCTTTTATTCTAAAATTACTAACTAGTACAATGGATAAGTTTTGATGGTCGACACTTCTCATTCAAATGGGCAGAGCAGTCGTTACCGTATTTGTTTAATTTTTTTGTTGTCTCTGGAATTTGAAGATTCTAGAGTATTTTTAAGAGCAATTACAAACTAATAGAGATATGTGGGCGAACACTTCCCAAGCATATGTCAGAGCAATAGTAACCGAACATCTAGGTTTTTTTAAACATACTAATAAGTATGTATGTTTCTAATAAGTTACAAACTAATAAGGATATGGAAGCAACACTTCCCAAGCTGATATCAGAGCAATCGTAAACGTAACGTATATCTATGTTTTTTTTTAAATATACTAATAAGTATGTATGTATCTAATGAGTTACAAACTAATAAGGATATGGGGGCAACACTTCCCAAGCTGATGTCAGAGCAATCGTTGCCAAAATTGAACCGCATCTAGGTTTTTTATAAGAATGGAATCGGCAGAGTCCACAGCTTATTAATTTTGGATTTAGGATCAATTAAATGAAATGACTAAGATAAGAATAGATGGCTAGAGAGATAAGAATGGACTCATAGAGATTTTTAGAGCCGTGTCGTTTTTGAGATTTGATTTCCACCTGTAACTAGAACTAAGCTTAGTAATAAGATAAACTAAGTAAGATTGAGGTAAGATTAATAATAAGATTATGATAGGTAAGATTAATAATACAATTAAAACTAAGAATAATAATAAATTTTGAAGATTGTGAAACCGCTTTAATGTTAAGATAATTATTATATTTTTGATTGAATGTGAGGATTTTGGTGTCCAGCACATCTTCATTGTAGTATGTCGGATAGTGAAATTTGATTGGTGGTTAGGGTCTAGGTCTGCATGTCTAGGTCCACCACTTCTGCATCGTCGTCCTCCTGGCTCTGGATCTTGAAGTAGCACATGGTGAAGGAGTCCTTGGAAACAAGACGCACCCAGTCCCGAAGGCTATTATTCTTCAGGTGGAATGTTTAGTATGATATTTTTGCTTGATTGTGAGGATCTAGGTGTTCGTGTCCAGCACATCTTCATTGTAGTCTGTTCGGTTGTGAAATTTTATTGGTTGTTGGGGTCTAGGTCTTATTGTCCACCACTTCTTCATCGTCGTCCTCCTGGCTCTGGATCTTGAAGTAGCACATGGTGAAGGAGTCCTTACCACTGGAAACAACACGCACCCAGTCGCGAAGGCTATTCTTCTTCAGGTAGCGCTTCGATAGGTATTTAAAATAACGCTTGGAGAAATGAACGCTGCTGTTGATGATCAAAGAAGTTTGCTTGGAACGCTCTAAGGTCACCATGTCGCCCAGGTTGTTGATCTTCTTGTTCACCTTGGTGTGGGTCTTGATGTACTTCTCGAAGTCGGCAAGGTCCAGAATCTGATCCTCGACCACGCACGAGCAATCGATCTCGAACCGTTGCCAGACCTTTTTCTTGGCAGCACTTTTTCCGCGTAGCGCCAACTTCTTGGAGTTAAGCTTGGTCTTCGGCTTGATTGGGGCTGCAACTTTAGTAGCCGGAGCAGTCTCCTTCTTCACTGCGGTACCCGCTTTGGGCTTTGGAGCTGCAGTAGCTTTAGGTTTCTTGGCAGCCAGAGCCTCGGTTTTCGAGGTATCTTCCCTCTTGCGAGCCGCGGGAGCTTCAGCCTTCACTTTCTTGTTGGACACCACAGTGGCCGAAGAAGCCGACGACGAGTGAGGCACCAACTTCTTCCCAGCCGGCTTCGCTGGTTCATTTGTGCCCAAACTCAGTTTACGCAATGCGGCAGTCGGGGCTTTGGCCACCTTCTTGGAGTTCATTGGCGGAAGCGCAGTGGACTTTTCATTTTCTCCGGTGGAAGCTCCCCCCTTAGCAGGAGTTTTCTTCGACTTTGCTGGAGTTTTTCCTTTGCCCTTGGCGGCATCCTTCGTGGCAGGTTGTGGCTTCATTTCTAATTCAATATAATTACGCTAGAACATGTCGTCGATGTTCTTATGATTTTTTACTCACTTGTAAAATGCTAAGTGTGGGACCTCGTGTCCGCTGCGCAGGCGTTCTCGAAGAAAAAGAAAGATTTTTTAGCTTACGACTTGAAGTTGGCTGCGCTTCAGGGGCAGTGCTGCCCATCAATTGGAATTGCTATTTGAAGAGTTGCCTTTCGTTCATTAGAAAATCTCATCACTGAAACTGAATGAAGAACGTGGGGTGCTAAGCTTGAAACTTTTTTGATTTCGTTCTTGCCCAAGCGAATATTACCATCTGTTTTGGCCATTTTGGAAAAAAATTGGTAATAAAATAATTTTTAGCCTACAGCTTGAAGTTGGGTGCGCTTTTCGGCCAATGCGGCCAGTCAATTCGAGCAGCCATTTCGATTATTGGCAAATGGCACCACTGAAAATAAAGAGCATGGCGCGGCTGAGTAAGATTATCCAGCAATCGATTTTGTTCTGGCCCTAAGCGATTCGGAATTATTCCATTCTCTTATTTTTTTTTTTAAGAGTGCAGCTAAGTGGGAATCTTGACGCTCCAATTTAGGGCTGAATAATTGGCCGTAAATTAATATTGGCCCTGTCGATCAGACATCAATTTGTTGTCCTCAACGGAGTCTGTAATTTGTGTTTCACAACTGGTTTCCTTTAAATCGGCGTTCAACAAGGGCAAGTTGCTTCCTTAGTGAAATCAATTTAGACAGGAAATATGGGCACTGAAATACAAGTGACAATCAGAGCTTATCTGGTGCATTTCCACAAGTTTTTTGAAATTGATGTCCGAAGCCTTCACCTCTTACACCCTTTCGAAGTCAAGTTCATTTATTTGCGAGTTGTAAAAACATTTAGTTATCGCTTCGATATTTTTCAACCGAAAAGAATCCCCAAGTTGCATAACATATCGCTTTCGAACGAGCTCCATTTATCAAATTCAAATGAAAGAGCTGGCCACCAACTGGGATGGGGAAAGCGATGCGCTGGGGAGGAGGCCACCTCCTATCGGTAGGTAAATAAAAACAAAAAGTGCAACCAAAGTGAATTCCCGGGGAGCGTTTAATCAAAATTTACCGGCGAACGCGCTTGCTGACAATGAGAAATTGCAACAAATTCGCGCTACAACGAAACCTTCTCGCGGCCTTCCTTTCTCTCTCTCGCTGGCAGAGGCTGTCTCTTACGCCCGTCAGGGCCAAGAGCCAAAAAGGCCCAAACTGGATGGCAAGGGGAGTGTCGATAGCTTTGCAAACAGAAAGCTAAAGAAATGCAGCGATCACGTATGAGGCTTCACAATAAAAACATTTGTTTACCCTTTTTTTTTGGTATTTAATATTAAAGTTTTTACTAATAAGCCATTAAAAAAATTATAGAAAATGCAATATAATTAATATTTTTTTCTTTCTTTTAGAGTATTGTATAATTCGACTATAGAAAATCCTGCGATTTGTTTGTGATTTCCCATCACTCTACTCAACTGCTGCTGTTGGGATGCTACTCGATTTCCATGCCTTTGTCTGGATATTGTTTTCAAGCTTTGGCTTCGGCTTTCGCCACTTTTTGTTTTATTTTGGCGGCCACGGATATGAAAAATGATGCCGAAACAATTTTTACAGCCCAAAGCACCGCAGGCCTAAGCCTCGCGTCCTCCTGGTGGATTCTCTGGCAGGTAAGCCGAGCGCGCCCCCACCTCCACCGTTCTCCTGCGCCCGAAATTAATTGATGGGCCCCGACGATGGGAAAACTACACTCTGGTGGGCGTGATGCAGCCGCCCCTCCCACTCCCACTCTCAACACTGCCCCAGAAGTGATCGGCAGAGTCGTGCGGCTTCTGGCCCGAAATCAATCTGGCTAAACGGTAGCAAATGGGCGGATGGATAGCGAAAAATGGGATTGGACTGGGATTGGGACGCGGATTCGTGGAGGCGTTGGAGCCTGGGAGTCAAGCTTGTTACGGATACCAATTGATGTCCAGGGAATCGATCACTTCGACATCAGGTGGGCGAAGATCGTACACGACTTTCGAATAAAGGGGAGCTTTGCATATGTTTCCTATAATTATTCGGGTTGTATAAATAATAACCTAACAGAAGCCATTAATTCATATGACTAATATAATTTAATTACTTTTTATATGAATATACTTATAAAAAATTATAGTATTGATAAGCTCATGCTTCAGTTTCAGGCAGAAGCTATATCTCGCAAAGCTGAGTCAGAGTCGAAGCCATTATAAGTACTATTCATAGTAGTTTCCGATTATTCAGGCTACACTAATAATATTCCTAGGCCGATGTCGACTCTGTAGTCCCAGTGAAAGCTTGCACCTTGGAATAATTACTGGTTCTGGCGGCTGGCTTTGATTGAAATCTAAAACCAAAACAATTATAGATTATGGACATAAATAACTTTCTTCAATACTGTTACCTCTCCTGGAGACAACGCCTGGTGGACTTTGTTGACAGAACCACCAATAAGATTATAGTTCCTTGGGAGTAGTTAATGTAGTCGCTCGGCAACAAAATCTTACTCCACAAACCGTCGTTCTCCACCAAGTAGGAAATGATCACCAGGCTCCATGACACCCCCATAACCAAAAATAGCTTAATGCAGGTTAAGAATCTAAAAAAAACGTAAAATATAGACTACGCAAAGACGGGTAGAACCTAGTACACACATTTCCATATCCGAATCGACTCCTGTCGATAAGTGCGACTCCCCCGAATCAAAAGTTTTCCTTGTCTTCATCTTGATTCTCACAATATTCCTGGCCGCATGGATGAATACGGTTATGTTGTAGGTGATCAGAATCAGTATCGGTCCATAGAGGTAGATCATGGCGCTCTTGTCCTCACCTTCAAGATCAAAGGCTGTAACTGGTGAGCTTGATAGGCAATTTTATTAACTTACTTTTGACCCAACAGTTGTAGAACCCAACGCCTGGCATCCATCTCTCGTATTCATCTCTGTCCAAAGTAAAATCCAACAGAACAATGGTTGTTGTTAGGATGGCAGGAATGCCCCATGCATATCCGCTGTACTTCAAGTACTTCTTCATGCTAGCTTTACGGTTTGTCATTGGCACGCATTTTCCAATGCTCCTCCCCACATTCCGACTGATCACGGAAAGCCAGAAGAAGGCCGATATTATAAAGAAGTAACCAAGGTAGCCTGGCAAAGGAAACTATTAGTAGGAAGTCGATTTTCGAAGCGCTGGACTAACCTGTGGGTTCACATAGCGTGTTAGTCGGTACGTGCCAAGAATCCAGGAGCTGCATAAGACTTCCTAAGCCCAAGCTCGCCATGTAGAAAGTGAGGCATACGTTGTTGAAGCTTTTAAGCATTCCTGCCAGACAGTAAATAGCGATGGTGACAATAATACAGAACAAGGACGTGCTGATTGCTGGTGTAGGTAGAAAAGTGTGTTACAACAAGTGTCATTGAGGGAGAGCCATCTTCCCTGGGCTTACCCACTGTCTTTCCCCAATCGGGACCGGTCTCTATGGCACAGTTATACGGCAGAATTCGTATGGAATCGTTCAACTTTCGGGGCTGAATGCAGTACTCCTGCTTGGAGAGGCTCTTGGTGTCGAAGAAACGCAGGAATGTTCCATTCTGGAGAAGAAGGGATTTGGGTTACAAAAACTAAGCGAATAAAGTCTCCTGCAAACCTCAAAGAGTTCTCCCTCATTTTCCTCTAGATTATACATATTTTGACAGGGCTGAGGTAGATGCCCCTGAAGAATAAAATCCTTGTGGAAGTCCAGTCTCTTCACTGAGGTCCCGCTGGTAATGTTCACATAGTGGCCGGACCACGTGTCCTCATCCAGGCCATCTGTGCACTCGCTATACTCGTCCATATACTGGTTAGGGGGACAGCACAGTCGGATGCAGGTCTTCATCTTACAGGCACAGCCTCTCCAATGACTCTTTACGGGTTCTCGTTCCCCGTCGGGCAGCAGAATGTAACTATACTCCCCCGTCTGGTTGGGGGGAATCTCCACTCCCTGGTAAAAGTAAGATCCATTTTGGGATCTCTGGCTGGATGTGAGGTTCACGGTGTCGTAGAAATGGCAGTTAGCAATGTCTGCCTTTGCTCTACGGTTTCCTAGGATCACCAATAGAGTTAGCAGGAAAGAGAGCCTAAACATTAATTCCATTTCTTCTTCTATTTACTTTCTAGGTCTTAAATAGGAACAACGTTTTCCACAGATCTCTAAAAACGAACTGAGCTTTATCCACAATTTATTAAAATGCAATATTTTCAATTTTTTCAAAGTTATGACACACTATCGCGACGCTGCCGTTCTACTACTCACTCGGCATGTGAGTCATCGTCACTTTTACTGTCTGTTAATAAATATAATAAAACAATTACATATAAGGTTGTCAAATATCTCCCTTCCGCTTTTTTGCTCTTTATTCAATGCTTTATAAAAAGTGTTACAGTGATCCGATTTAGTTGAAATATGCGCCGTTTTGTTCGATAATCCGTTTCCATCTAGACGGCAACTTCATAATACCTCCCTCGTAGAAGCCCCCCTCCTTATTTGCGAAGAACTCGGACAGCCACTTTTCACAAGCCTCTTTTGAGTTCAACTTTACACCACCAAGGGCGTTCGTCATGGACAGGAACAGGTGGTAATCACTTGGCGCTATGTCCGGGCTATATGGTGGATGCGATAAAACCTCCCATCCGAGCTCCCGTAGCTTCTGACGAGTCATCAACGAAGTGTGTGGTCTGGCGTTGTCCTGGTGGAACACTACACCCTTCCTGTTGGCCAATTCTGGACGCTTCTGGTCGATCGCCTGCTTCAAGCGGTCCAATTGTTCGCAGTAGATGGTAGAATTAAGCGTCTGGCCATATGGGAGCAGCTCATAGTGGATGATTCCCTTCCAATCCCACCAAACACACAGCAAAACCTTCCTGGCCGTCAATCCCGGCTTGGCCACTGTTTGGGACGATTCACCGGCCTTCGACCACGACCGTTTTCGTTTGATATTGTCGTATGTGATCCATTTTTCGTCGCCAGTCACCATCCGCTTCAAGAATGGGTCGAGTTCGTTCCGTTTCCGCAGCATATCGCAGGCGTTGATTCGGTCCACAAGGTTTTTTTGCGTCAAATCATGCGGCACCCAAACATCAAGCTTTTTTTGTATCCAGCCTTCTGCAGATGGTTTAAAATGGTTTGGTGACTAACTCCCATCTCCTGGGCGATGTCACGAGAAGCCACATGCCGGTCTAACTCGATGTATTCCATGATTTGATCGGTATTTGTCGTCACAGGTCTTCCGCCGGCTGGCTTATCCATGGTGTCGTTTTCACCGGCTCTGAATCGTCGAAACCATTCCTCCGCGGTTCGAAGTGATAGAGTACCATCCCCCAAAACCCCATTAATCTCACGGAACGTTTCTCTAGCGGATTTGCCTTTAACGAAGGAAATCTTTAAAATAGCGCGAATTTCGGCGTTAGTGAACTCCATGTTTACACGTCTATAACTGGTGAACGCAATATCCAAACTAATCATGCATAGCGTCGTTTTGTAGGTTATGTCAATACCTTTTAAATTATGTATAGTGTTGCCAGATACGAGCTCTGTAGCGCTTTGTACATAGCCGCGAAATTCAAAAGACAAAAAGGCGGAAGGGAGATATTTGACAACCTTATATATTACTTAATAATTGAGCAGATAATTGAGCAGATGCATTTGACGCAGATTTCGTTTTCTAATTTATTCAAGAGTTTGATTAAAAAATCAGTAAAAACCCCGAAGCTTATAAGTACTTTATTTTGCCATAAATTGGCAGACCTAAACTGACCTGGCTAATGAAATGCAAGCCACACAGAGATAAATATCCAAGTCAATGGGCTAGCCAACAAAGAGATTGGTGCACCCAAAGCCACACTATACGACTCTATAAAGCCGGATCCCAAAAATAATGCAAACTGAGTCAACCAACAAGAAGTAAGAGACAAACTAGGCCCAGGCCGAAATTGGAAATGTGCCAGCTAAAATAAACATTTATTGAGTTGACTGCCTGACACTTCCCGCTGCGATACAGCAGGAAAATGGGAAATGGATACAACACCTGGTGGGTGACTCCACATCCACATCCACATCCAAGTCCAGCTCCAGTTTGAATTCGCAGTCCCAGTCCCCTGACGCAGTCACTCTATTAATTAAATTAAATTTCAATATAAATTCAAATGGGCAAAGCGTGCTCGCTTACGAGTTCTAATTGGGCGAGTGCGAGTCAATTAGGGAGGCAGGGTGGCAGGAGAACGGGAAAAGGCCGCCCATTGTGCCGGCCAGTAAGCCAAGATTGGAGTGGCACTGGCCAAGTGCGGTTGCGGGTGGCAAGACCTAATTGTTTATTTATGGAGAGGCCCCAACCGCCAGTCGCTTTCGCAACTCTTTCTTTCCGACTTTTCGACTTTCGAGGGAGCGGGCATGGGCATCGAATTTCATTAATCACGCAAACGCTTATCGCCTGGTCGGCAGTAGGCAGTCGTCAGTAGAAACCTCTCCCCAGACCAGAACCGGCTAGAAATACTGGCTAAAATCGTGGTCATAATTTGTCCGACTTGCTGGAAAAGCATCGCAATCGGTGTGAATGCAAAAGTGCGCCTGGCATGACCATCGGACCAGGCTAGAACCTCTCATCATCGTGCTGGCTACCTCTTCCGACCACTTTTCAGGCCCCACCTTTGATTATTGGGGGAAAATTCCGTGAAGAATGAAGATAGAAGGCCAGAACCAGCACCCGTAACTAGAGTGTGTGAAAATTCTGTAGAAGCAGTGGAATAGCCCTCGAACTTGAGTTCTCATCTAAGAGTTTAAAGCCCCTAAGTTTTTTTTTCAATGTTGATATATTTTGGCCAGAAGTTGGTGGCACTATTTACATTTTCCAGTGCTTTGTGTGGGCCATTACAATCACTTAGACCGATAGTGGGTGGCCCCCCGGACACATTGAACTCTGCCTTCCGCCCACTCTCTGACTCTAAATTAAGATACTATCAAGGATCTGACAGTCGTAACTTATGTCATTTATGTTTGCTGTTATCTGAAGGCCCGCCCACTCCGACTGGCCCTCTTTGTGAATGGAAGATTGCCTCGGGAAGTGAACAGTCTCCAGTCTCCAGCCAGACAACCTGGCAGACACTCGGCTCTCCTTCTTTCGGCCATATTAGCAAGGCAAATTTCCCAAAAGGCGCTGGTAGAGCTCTCGCCGGAGCCTCAGCCAGAGCCAGAGCCAGAGACCAGGCGATGCGCCAACAAGTATGCAATACAATCTTGAAACTCGAATAACGGAAATAAAAATTATGAGACTGGAATATTTTAGCGCTGGCAATTTGCATAAGAAAAACGTTAGGAGAGCGCAAAGGAACTCCGGCCGGAGAAGTGGCCACAAGATTGGACGCCATTCGACGAAAATTTGTTGGTTTTTTGTTGGTTTTTTTGGGGGGGAGGCTCGGTGGTTAGGACGGGATGGTCCAACATAGCACGTGCCTAGTCATCCTACGCCTCCAACGGCCGCCGTGCAGTTTATTGTTGTTTGGGCGTTGTAATTGATAAGTTAATTTACATTTTTATTGAATGGCCCAGGCAATTGTTGTGACTTGTCGCCGTGCTCTTTGTCACGAAGGTCACGGTGCTTTGCATATTTTTCGACAGGACCACCCCCTCAAAGGACTCCCCATTTTCATGCATACGGAAATAAAAATGCTTTATATGACGCGGTTCCGTGGGTGAGTTAATAAAACGAATTTGTGGCTTATGTTCCTAACAAGTCGGCCGTGCTCAGTGCTCAATTGTGTGTAAACCGGGCCGAGGCCCTGGAATTGATAAATTGGCCTAAACAGGGTCAGAAGTCAGAGTCAAATCAGTTAAAGTAAGAGATCAGTGAGGGGATGGAAATCAGAAATGGATAAATATTACTTTTAAGAGCAGCGCTCGGCCATTTTATTTTGCTTTTCCCATTTGCACTTTTATTGTTATTCCTGGGCTCTGGCTTTCGACCGGGTCGAGTGGCTGTACAAAGAATCGAGAATGTATCCGTTTCATGTTCCATCGCCCGGTCGTGCATGAAAAGTTAACGAGAATTGATGTTCCATGTTTCCAAGGCAAAACAAAGCATAAATTTCTCAGTTGCTGGCCGGCTGGAGCTGATGTTGGAGCTGCCGCTGCTGCGGCTCTGTGGCAACTGCAACACTGTCGATATCGGACTTGGGCCAAGTACATTGTGCACATTCGTGGAAGGTACCCGACCCCATTCATAGTAGTGCTCCGCAGAGCTACCCTTGGCCAGCGACGACGACGCGACGTTGCATAAATTTTCGACAACGAATTCAATTTGCGTAACGCATGCGGATGGGTCCCGAAATGGGAAACGGGTTGAGAATGGATTGGGATCTGGTTATTTGTGCCATGCCAGGGCCGGCAGGGCAGGGGGTCAAGTGAAATGGTCCCAGCCATGGCTCCTTTTAGCCAACTTACGCTGAACCATATTACTCCAGATATTACTGTTTGTTTGGTTATCCATTAGACTTTAGAGGGAATAAGCTACGAGCTTGTAAGTAGATATCAGCTTCAGAAGGATTACGATAGATTCACTTTCATCTCCCTCTCAATCCCGCCTCCATAACTCCGTTTTGGCGCAATCAGTGTCGCGCCTAATCCGAGGAGACCCGCCTCTGCGGGCCTCTGGCTGCATGCAAATCACCTCGTTGACTTGCACCCACTCTGGGTGGGCCAAAACGGGCCAACTGCCGCCAGGAGACACATACTGAGATGCAGATTGGAACAGAGACTGGGACTTGGGCGGGTAGTGGATTAGCGCAGAGTCTCTTCTGATTTCAAGTTGATGAATTGCAGTTTCGGGCTGGCATTGTGATTCTCCTTTAACTAACAGACACACAACGTTGGAATTCATGATCTTGTGGCGGTTATATTTCCATCGATTACTACAATTACAATTAACTGGCACTCTGGAAAACGAAAACCTCTAATTTCATCAGGACAAAGCACTTCATCCGATCGGGCAGACACATTGACAGGACACACGTATGAATTACGGAACACAAAGGCCGCCGATGACTTGTTTCAATCCGATTATGTTTCTAGCCCTCCAACTCTGAATGGCAGCTGGACAATTTACA